CAAAGCTAACTGCGAACATCCTTTATTGCTTTCTCCATAGTTAAGTATACCCTTTTCTCTGTTAAGTATTTTCAAACATTGACAAATTTTCATAGGATATATGACGTTATATATTTATAACTTGACTGGATCTCTAAAATATTTACCTTGTTCTTTAATTAATGTCGGGTATGTTTTATAAGTGAATTTCATCTTTCTGCCTACACTTACATAGATGCCTTCCACAAATCAGACTCCAAGTCCAGATCAGCCGTTCCCACTATCTCTAAAACGGGAGCTTTCTTCTATACCCCGGGCCGACGACCCAAATAACAAAAAATGGGAATACCCTTCGGCACAAATGTTCTGGAATGCCATGATCCACAAAGGGTGGCGCTGGTATGACGAGGATATCTCCTCTGATGTCATGGATTCTATCGTGAGCATTCATAATGAAAATAATGAGAAAGCCTGGCTCGAAGTGCTAAAATGGGAGGCTCTCCATGCACAGTAAGATTTGCCCCGCATACCTTCGTTTCCTAATCCTCCATTATTTTGCTGAATTAATATTATTTGCTTCCCATTTTTAGAGAGTGCATGAAACCAAAATTACGAAGTTTTGTTGGAAATTCCAAAAAATACTCACCTCGCGCTCGTATTCGTCAGTTTATGGGGTAAGCTTGTCCTAGGCATTGCATTTAATTTCATCTTCCTATTACTTACATTTTATTAGGCTATATTTTCATGTCTAAATTTTTGATGAATTAAATTATCGGAGATTGCTTCCTACTTAATCTGTCTAATTGATTGTGGGAAAAATTCACTCGACTTTCTGCTCTCTGAGTTATTGGCTCTCTCAAAATTGTCGTGCATTCTCTATTCCTTCAAACTTCTATATAATAATATCGAGTTTTTTTTAATTTTTACTTGCATTATTATCCATAAATATAGTAATTTTTACTCAATGAGGCAAATACCTTTACTTCAGAGATTCTTCTGAGCTAATTTGTTGATTAAATAATCAGAGACGCTTCACTATTATTCTATTTATTCTTTAATATTTAAATGTTTTCCTTTTTTCCCTTACTATCTGACTTCCCTAATTAAGTATTCATGTTAGGATTAACTGCTACCTTTGTTGATCCAAAGCGCTCATATTTATTTTACTTGATTCAATACATCGGCATACTCTTGTCTTACATTGCATACACTCAAATATTAGCTCTTTATTAGCATTCTTTTGTTGCGCTTACTCGATCAGCTTAATCTAATTTTTGTTCTTTATAGATCGATATTAAATTTTTATTGCTTCTTTATTTTAACATTCACGGAACCTTTTTATTTACTAATTTCGTAGCTTAAGGTCGATTCAAAAGCCATATCAATATCCTTTATGACATCCTAACCTTAATCTTCTGTGTGGAATTGAACATGCCATCGGTTTTTAAAAATACAGTTTAAAAGTTTAAATAGGCTTGTTTTGCTTGTATGAAAGTTGATTAGTTACCGTCAAATAGTCCTCTTCCAAAAAACTTTAGCCGCTTTTTTATTGTTGAAACTTTGTTCGGTTAGTCCATTCTTTTCTTTCACATTACCTCAGCCTTGTTAGCTTACTTCAGTTATTATTATTTAATTAGTTTAAGGTTATCGTTCCACTACCTATTTTTGGCTCCTTGAACCGAACTATTTGGTACTTTTCATGCTACCTTTATACAGAGCTATGTTCCCTCATTTCTTGACCGCTTTTTACATGCCTCTTCATATTGGCCTCATTCCATGCCACCTTATGAC